TTAAAACTGAAGACATACTTTATCACTAGGCAACGTACCTGAGCCTTCTACCAAAAAGTCTAATGAAAGCCATCCAAAATAAGAGAAAGTATAAGAGTTGATTCTGAAAAGGGCCCCCAGCAACATGGGAGAGCACCAATACAGCACCATCCAGAACACCAATTATTAACCTGTCACAAAACTCCCTTTCCCTTTAACTTTGTTGAAGTATCTGTGCTCTTCAAAGGCCTGAACTTCTGCCCAGAGAAACAATCTGACAAGATACTAGTATGTGGAGAATTGGAAGAATTCTTCCACAGAATTTGCCTAAATAAATATTTCTACAACCAGGACAAAAGAACCTAGGATTCCCTCCCTGCCACAACACACGACAAACAACAACAAAAACCCAACTGGACACCTCTGAGCAGATAGAACCACGTACTGCACTAGTAAATCAATTGAGCTAGCAAGAAAGCTAACAGCAAAATTCTCAACAAAAGCTAGGACCACCATAACCTCTCCCCTTTAAAGAGAAAAGTCACAGTCCCTAAAATCCAACAACAAAACAGTAAACAAACCAGGACACAAAGGAGGAGCTACTGTCATCTCCAACCGTCAAGACTCTAAAGAACTCTCTCACATCAACTACTATAAAGAACTTGGGGAAGACATCACATGAGATTTCACTGTTGAACTGGAAATCATTATCAAATTCTTTGCATGCCAGCTTAAAAAAAAATCTGTTTGTACTTCTCCCCCATTATCCCATCCCAAAAACATTTTATATGCTCCCAAAGTTTCATAAACAGAGGAACGTTGGCAGACCCATCATATCCAACTACAGTACCCTCACTGAAGAGCTATCAGGTCTTGAAACCTCCTATCATTCAAAGGCCAAGTTTTCTACAAGACACAACAGACTTCCTTGGCAAGATCCAGAACATCAACCCTTTCCTCGAGAAGACCATTTTTGCAACTCTGGATGTTACCAGGTACACAGTAATATTGCACATCCTAAAGTCATAACTGCTTGCCTGAAATGCCACACAGACTACGCTCGGTTGCAATCACAACCTATTACATAAATCCACTTTGTCCTCACCCACAACTTCACTATCAACAACCAACACTTCCTCCAAACCATGGCACACCTTTGGGCACAAAGATGCTCCACAATATGCTAACCTCTTCATGAGCCACCTGGAAGAATTTCTAGAAAACTGCACCACCAAACCCTGCACTGCACCTGCTTTACATAGATGCCATTTTCATCATCGGAACTGAAAACATGGACTGGCTTACTTATTTTTACCATAGGTTCAGTTGCTGCCACCACTCAGTCATTCTCTCTGCAATACTCCTATGCTAACATCAACATCTATACCAACACACCATGATCTACATCAAAGATGGCACCCTACAAAACTATATGCAAAAAAAAAAAAAAAAGCCATGGACCACCACATAGTCCACAAAACCTGCAATTGTACTAAACATACCAAAATAGCTGTACTCTACAGTCAACACACCTCAGACATCACCATACTGACTTAAATAGTTGTGCCACATACCTCACCAAACTGAAAACTGCTTTTATCCAAGCCAGGACACTTCAACAGAGAAATAGGCCATACCTTTGAAAGAGCTACCTAAATACCCACCAGCAAGCTGCTACAACACCCCCTCCCCACATACCCTTGTCATTTACTGTCCCACACTTGAATGTATAAGAAAGATCATCAATTACAGCCTACACTTGAAAAGACCAGACCTTGAGAGAAACATGAGAGAAATATGCCCAGCCTAAGAACCAGGGATAAAATGCAGTGGTTCTTGAAATCAATCTGCCTGATGGGTGATAACAACCATCTTAAATGGTCTTGCTACAAACTACCCTCAGGTTACTTACTGCATTTCTCTTTGTCTTTTAGCCACCTGATAATCTCTCTTATACCCTGATTTTATTTACATTGGAGTTGTGCACAAGCCTTTGTTCTGTATCTTGTTTAGCTCTGCTGTATCTGCATTTTTTTAATCAGACCTAGGAAGGGTAGTGGTACCCAAAAGATCATCTGTGTCCCTCCCAACTATTTGGTCAGTCCAAACAAAAGATAAATCACCCACAAAAATCTTTGCCAAAGTACAAATGCTGAAGTTGTCCAACTACTTTCCAAAATATACGTAGAAAGGATTCTTAGAATCTGATCTGACCACTAATAAATTATGAGCAAAGTAGAGCATCTGTGCCGATTCATATTCAAGGCAACGATGCTCTTTGTAAGTACAAAAGGTCTACCCAAAAGCAACTCTGCAATGTCAGAACCACATTGTGAACCTCAGTTGATTCCTCTGCATTGAGGTTCACCACAGATTAGCTGTTTGGAAATTTGAGAAGCATTCTCCATGTTATAAAATGAGAACACTAACAGCATTATATTTGTATTTTAGGTTATCCAAAGAGCAGTAATTGAAGTGGATGAGAGAGGAACTGAAGCAGCAGCTGCTAGTGGGTCAGAAATTACTGCATACTCAATGCCACCTACTATTAAAGTGAACAGACCTTTCCTTTTCATGGTATTTGAAGAAACTTTTAAAACATTGATTTTCATGGGCAGGGTGGTTAACCCTACAGAACTGTGAATAAAGACTATGGTTTCTCTCTATGTCATGTACCAAGTTTTATTTTTATTTTCTTTAAACTATTACATTGCATTAGTCAGAGCTAAGTATCTGTTAAATATGGAAAATTAGATCAGAATAGTTTCCTATTTTAAACCAGCAGCAGGTCCTATTACAGTATATTTTGTTAATGCCAGAGTGCCCAGATTACCTCATTGAATCAATAATTGCAACAGAGATCTGTTCAAAAGCTATGTTATTTAATACATTTCCCGACTATCTTCTAAGAGCCATTCAATAGTAGGCTTGAAATTGCTGATGGTACACTGAAATAATCAGTTAGAATCTTATGATTCTGTGAGCTAATTAGCTATTTCTGTACTGATGCAAACTCAATAAAAGGATTTGAGTTGAAAGATGCTGGTGTGTGTTTAAATTTAATCCCCCCCTGAACAAGAGAGCTGCCATTTTGCACAATTCATATCACATGGGGGGGGGAGGGGGAGTATTTTCCATAGAAAACATCAAAATAAAACAAGAATTTTTGTTTTCAAAGTCAGTGTCAATATTCACAAAGTACAACTAGGCTCTCAACCCCCAAAAACATCTTGTAGAACCACTATTAAAAGTTTCAGAAACTCAAGCCTGAATTCCCCAAATTCAACATTTTAATGGCAAAACTCTATTTAGAGGTAAACTTGAATCAAAGTCTTCAATTCAGATATATCAAAACATCCAGGAAGTTTGCATTCAAGCACTTCAGCCTGATCTTCACTAATTGTATTTTCTACTACGAGGAGACAAATTGGGACCCTACTGTCATTTACTTTAACAGAGGTTTTACCATGTGCTTCAGTGGGAACAGTCAAATCCTAAGAATAGGATTTACAGGTTCTGCTCTGGAGAATTTTGTTTACATATTACTGCAATGGAAACAGTGAAAGTAAGACGAGAGTTTTTAGCTGAAGGTTTTATTTACCTTTATCAAATGCATCTCAGTTTCTCATGGCAAGTGTATGCAGTCAAATAAAAGCACATTAAAAACTGGACTTTCTATTAAAAACACCAAAATGTTCCCCCCAAAAATCTCTCATTCTTTAGCTAGAAAAGCCAACTTTTTTGGTCATACTTTGCATCACCTTCCTGGAATGACATTAATCAATATTATCTAGATCTCGTGGTGATGCACATGTTCAAGATCTATCAAATCTGAAGAGTGTTCTAAATCTAGTAGAGGGCCTTTAATAAAAAACAACAAACCTGCATAAGGGAAAACAACTCCATTCACAGACTAAAGACTGAAATCAGAAAAGATCATTTTAAACTGCTTTGCAAAGACCTTTTTCAACATATGGATCTTCTTGTGGACTAAATACACAAAATGACAACAACATACAATCTACATATAGAACATGAAGCTTTACCAGCGGGCATGGAGCCACATGTAGCTTCTTCCTGCTGCTTCACAAAATTCTCACAGTTTACAAGCAGTCTGAGCAGAACTCTTCTTGTTCAGATACTAAAAAGTTGGCCAAATGGGATATGAGGACTTTCCAAGATCATTCAAATTACTGAAAGGTTAGCTACAAAGGTACAGGCAGATACAGAGATAAATCCATAAACACGGCCAGAAAAGAAGGAAGGAACAAGAGAGTAGTGCACGCTTTTTTTTTTTTGACCACAGTGCAGGATAGATATACTGAAGCAAGCTTGAGTAGTAGTCTTAGTGTACTCATAGTGGCATGGAGTTCAGCACAGGTTAGCAGTCCAAGTTTGAGGTGGGTTTTGTGCCCAAGTTTTACCCTAGTGTGTGACTGGTATTAGTAGCTTAGCTACCTAGAATAAAGAGAAAGGAAAACAGGACTTTCCTGGTTTCCTGCCCTACCTTATGCCTGACTTTCCTGTTGAAAGAGCCACCAGTCTGAGCAGATCAAGAGGATGAAGCAGATGGCATCAATGACAAAGTCACACAATAATCATGCCACTGCTGATCTCTGGATGTTCTGATGTTTGTGTGGCTGCATCAATACACCACATTGGTACTATAAAACTTAGAACAATAGCTTAAGTCAGGCTGCAGAACAAATACTACAAACACAAACCACTAATGATTTATATACATGAAGTCCAAGTACTGTGTATAAATTATATAAAAAAAAGAAAAGACCAAGCTGACCAAAGTTCAGATTTACTCTCTAACAAGCTAATAAATTTAGATATCACATGTGAGATCACTGGAAAGTCTTAATACACATTTTAGGTACTTAATACAGGAGAACAGTAAATCTGGCTTTACTGTTAATTTTTTTAAAATAAATAACTTCTATAGTTAAATGCCTTTATTTCTCTTTCATTATAAAATAAACATTGCGAAAAAATAACATTTTTTCACAAACATGCAAGTATTGCATTGTCCTAGGTTTTATTTTGAGTAAATTAATCATTCATTATTTTACACTGTAAAAAGTAACTACACACACATATGCATTCACAAATTAGATCATCTTTATCATACACCTAGATTTAAAAAACAGATATTTTCTGATATCAATATAGTTATGCTGATTGCATTTTGAAATAGAGAAGCTGACAATAGCTTCATACGGTATCTCTCAAGTATTGGCATAAATAGAACTTTTTTAAATAGAACTCCATGTTTTCACAGGCAAATTTTGCTAGAAACATAGCATTAATACAAACAAATGCTGTTGACAGAGCTGAAGCATGATAGCCTGAATAAACAGCTAATTAAAAACTAGATTCATCATTTTAAAATTATTAAAGTGAAAATACAATCTGAAATACTAAAAATTAAAGTATTTATACAACAAAACTGTTTCTATTAAACAAAGGAAATAATTTTCATATTTAGAGGTATTTGCTCCTAAAATGTTTGGAAAACTTGTAAAGGATTTTTATAAACTTGTGTTAGAACTTGTAGCAAGACTACATTCAAATTCACAGCACAATCCTATTGCAGTTTATGCTTCAGGACAGCTGCTTATCAGTGCTTCCAGCTTTTAGTATCAACTAAATTGAAGATTCTTTAAAATGTGAAATCATTTCCTCATATGCAGAGCAATTTCACCCATTTTTAACATCTATCAACCAACAGATGTTAGGAACTGCTAAAACTGTGAGTAAGCCCAATTAAGTTGAGGAGACCTGTATCCTAAATTCAAGAATCTGAACTACAGAGGCATAATTGAAGAAAAGAAAAACCTGTCTCTTTAGCTGCAGTAATTAAAGCACATAGCTAAAGTTATATTTCATTAACATGTCACTACAACATTGGAATTCTGCAACCATTACATTATTTATGTGATGATATTTTACAACTTAGGAATTTTATTTAAAAGATAAAAGGTTTTAACATTGCAAGATGCTTTAAATATCTCCTGTCCAGTTGTGGAGTCCCAGCCGCTGCTCCTGCTTTGTCACACAATCACATTGCTTCCAGCAGTCTTTGGTTTCCTTCCTTTTTTGTCAGATGATCTATGGGTTTGATTTTCTGTTTTTTCTTTATACAAAAAAGAGGAGATGTATGTAAAAATTTTTGCTGATCTATTAAAAATACTAAGTACTAATTCTTCATAGTAAAGTGCTATTGCATGCAATATATTTTAATGGAATTATTAAGCAGCCCTACTTTGAAACACAGCTATGTGTGCCCTCTCTCATTCACACACACATGCACATTTGCACATACACGCAGTAAATACATGCACAGTTTAGAGCTATTTTCACAGTAAGCGTATAATTTTCAAACAAGTCTTCTCCAGAAGAGCGGTGTGTGTGTGTGTGTGTGTGTGTGTGTGTGTGTGTGTGTGTGTGTGTGTGTGTGTGTGTGTTTTATACACATATATATACACACACATATACATACCAGGGATTGCCAATTTTCCCCTTTAAAGGAGAAAATTGTGGATTTTCCTTTTTAAAGGAAAAAACTGCAGGAAACCAAGGGCTTACCCTCACAGGCTGGCAGCCTTCCAGACTACAAGGAGCTGCTTGGGATTGTGGAGAGTGGAAGGCGGCGATTGGAGGTAGGGGGCACTACGTGTGTGCATACACACGGCTGACATACAGCCATGTACGGGGCTGGGAGTACCCCTGGGAGGCTGGATACAGGTAAGTCTCGGGGGGGGTGG